CTATTTTGGTCATTCTTACTTCACTTTTGCTCCTTTTCCATCCACTTCGCTGACCTCTCTGCTTACCTGGACTTGGAAGTGATACACACCTAAATTTCATCTCTGGGTGTGTTTTCCTCTCTTTGAACTCTGCCTCTCAGTGGTCTCATAGCCCTATGGCTTTTGTTAGCATTTACGTGCAAATTCCCCCAGCCTTGTCTTCCTTACCGAGTTCCAATTTTACCTGAATTATTGCAGCAGCCTTCTAGCTAGTCTTTCTACTTTACTTCCTCAGGAGAGAATCAGGGGGATGTTTTAAAAGTACATTTAATCTTGCTACTTTGCAATTTAAGGTTATTCATGTGGCCTGTGGGGCCCTATGCTTCTGTCATGTTGAGCTTCTTTTGATTATGTGAACACGCTGTCCTCACTCATCTCTCAGGGCCTTTTAAATGTGGTTTTCCTCTGCTTGCACCACTCTGCCCACAGACCCCAGCATGGCTGCTTCTCATCATTCAGCTCTTTGCTCAAAGTTTACCCCTTCTGACTGTGCTTCTCTAAGTATCCAGTTGAATTACACTCTTGAGCCTGCCTTTCTTTTTCATATCACCTGGTTTTATTTTCTTCAAAGCACTTCTCACTTTGTAGTTATTTATTCATCTACTTGTTTGCTTGCTTGTCTGTCTCCTCCCTCTAGAGGGAGCACAACAGCTGAGCACATTGACTGCTTGTGCCTCTTTTACCCCAGTGTCTCTGGTGCTGGGAACCTGGGAACCTCTGCCAGACACAAGGCAGGATTGAATGGGTCATCAAAGGCAGTTAGTGGTGGTTTTACTAACTTTCTTGTTATTTATATGAAACATAATGAACTCAAATATCAATGGGCAATCCCTATTCTCAACTTTTGTGATTTAGCTCAATTTTTTCTGACATTATAGATTTTGATTTTTTTTCAGTCCTTGGATTTTAGGTGACTGTAGTTCCCCATGTTATTTCAGATGCATTTTTTTTTTGTATCTTTTCTAGTTCTCCTGTATCTCTACTGATGTTAAGCCTTCAGAAAGCCGCATGATTTTTTTTTTCTGTTTTCATCCTAGAAATGCCTGAAATTTTAGCCATATTTTTGGGTGTAGTGCCATAGTTTGGGTCAATATCATTCAAATAAAAAATCTTAGGTTATTTTATATAGTTTTATGGGAGATGACTAATGGCTCAGACAAACTTTCCTGGCTGGTCTAAAAACGTCTCACTAATTCTGTGCCCATTTGAAAATTAGTTATTTCCTTAAAACTTAGATGTTTGGAAACTTGGAGAAGTTTCTGTAACCCGTATACTTGGGAATTTTCAGGGTGCTTTCTGCCTAATTCATTGTGGAGAGTTTTTAATGATACTGGTTTTCACACTAAACCCTGAGGAATGTTTCACACTACATTTCTTCATTGAAAGGTGTACCTATTTATCTTTATTGTGCTTACTTCTTCTAAACCATCTTTCTGTCTTTAAAATACTGCTGATCAGGCCCCGTATGCAGCCTTAAATGAAACTTTTTGTCAAAGGCTACCATTTCTAACAAGTATGTATTTGTTTTGTCTTTGGAATTCCATTCATGGTGTTACTAGGTGTTGCTTTAATCACTATTTTCTACTTTACCTTAATGTGCCAAAAATGATAGCCTTCTTTGTTTTCTTCTAGGGGACTTTCTGTTTTCAAAAAAAAGTCTTTTTGTGTGTGTGTGTTATTTTTATGAGCATGTGGAATATTTTTCCTAAGCACACTGCCAGATGCCTAAAGAGTACTTAATACATATTTATTGAATGATTATTAAGCAAAGGCACACATACTCTTTTAAAAAAAATCTTTGACATTTAAAAAATCATTTGTGAATAATGTATCCTTAAATAGCACATATTGAATGTGTCTAAGTTGCTGACATTCTTAATTTCTAACTAACTTTTGGATTGTTCTCAAACTGATGGTTTTCTTGGATCCCGCTTTCCCACCAAGATGTTGAATTTAATTATATCTTGATGACTATGACTTAAAGGCTCCCCAACAAACATCTCTAAACCAATTCCTGTTCACCTATTGAGACCCAGGCTGATTTATTTCTTTTTCATGTGTATTTCTTAGCTACATATTCTTAGAAATAATGTTTTAACCTATGTGAAAATATGCATCTGCATATCTCAGCTAAAGAATGTATTTTACTAATGTCCTTGGTTAAGGTAAACACATTTTTATTCCCTGGCACATTTAATATTCGTATTCTTAGATTTATCTTACTGGCTGGATAATCCATAGAATGGTTTGGTTTATCGCTTAACTATGTGATTATTGAATTTTTACATAAACTTCATAGTAATATGATTTCTGGAAAGGCTCTTACCCTGTTTTTGCTGGCTTTTATAAAGGGCAGTGTGGGGGCCGGGCACGGTGGCTCAAGCCTGTAATCCCAGCACTTTGGGAGGCCGAGGCGGGTGGATCATGAGGTCAACAGATCGAGACCATCCTGGTCAACATGGTGAAAACCCGTCTCTACTAAAAATACAAAAAATTAGCTGGGCATGGTGGCGCGTGCCTGTAATCCCAGCTACTCAGAAGGCTGAGGCAGGAGAATTGCCTGAACCCAGGAGGTGGAGGTTGCCGTGAGCCGAGATCGCGCCATTGCACTCCAGCCTGGGTAACAAGAGCGAAACTCCGTCTCAAAAAAATAAAATAAAATAAAGGGCAGTGTGATGTTTTCCTATTCTCATCTTTGCTAGAGCCTTTGTCCATTCTCATGACACTAGATTGTCATGAGAATTGCTGATTCTAGCAAGGCAGATGACCACTTGAAATCCTTGCCAAATAATTAAGCCTATTCATTTTGTTTATGAGGCTTCTCGAATTGGCACAGAAGCTTATATAATATGGCTTGGTGTTTTGATCTTTTCTCACTAATTTTTTTTTGTATTTATTCATTGAGCATTTATTACATGCTCATTAGCTACAAAGCACATTTTTAGTTTCTCAGGGATTTGAAAGGTAAATGAGAGGCAAGCTGTGCTCTCAAGGAATTGACAGTCTAATGAGAAAGCTACTATATAAAAACCCAGTACACGAAGTAGCTACAATTAAAAGCAGAATAAATGTTAATATAAAATAGGCAAGCTGTGCTCTCAAGGAATTGACAGTCTAATGAGAAAGCTACTATATAAAAAACCTAGTACACAAAGTAGCTATAATTAAAAGCAGAATACATGTTAATACTAACAAAATAGGAGACAAAGGAAAAATTTCAAAGCAGTTTCCTGGAGAAAATGGCACTTGAATTTGACTTTCAAAGATGAACAGAGTTAAGTAGAGATGAAAAAGACTTTGAACAAAAGCCTGGACCAGAAGAATCATAGATGTACAAGTAGAAAATGAAGTGACAGTCACATTGGTGGAGGGCATGTTATGTGAAGGGGCATAGCTAGAGATAAGTCTTAGAAAATGTTTTGGGTGAGAGCATAGAGAGGACTGCATACCATGATTTTGGACTTGTTGGTAGGCAGCAGAGAGAAAAGAATGCCATTCAAAGACATGTACTTTATTAATATTAAAAGAAACTACCAATTACTGTGTGCCTAATCTATATTCGGCATTAAGCTAGATGTTTTGCATCTCACCTGCACAGTAAAGCTGAAAGGATAAGTGATATCACTCCCATTTTGCAGATGAAGAGTATGAAACTCCAAGAAAGAGATCAATCTAGCAAGGTTGCAAAATGTGGATTACAAAGGATTGAGACAAAAATTTACAATATAGTTAACTGAATATACACTTTTGTCTCTTCATCCCATTTCAATGTTCTAAAATTGACCCAGAAAATGATTGTTTTAAATTCCCATTCATGCTGGCAAATTGGATTATAAACTATGATAAGTGAAAGGCATTGGCGATTGCATCGAAGAAAGAAACTATGGCCCCAAATGCCGAGCCTGTAGAGGTGGACCCAGCCCTAGGGGTGGGGCTGAAGTAAATTGATTAATGTGTTTCAGTAAGAGTAGCCAAGGATCTACACCTCTTGCCATTGCTCTCTGGACTGGACAGTGACGACTGAGTCCATAGCAAAAAGGGTCTTGAGTCAGAAAGAGAAGATAGTGAGCATGGCAACCCCCAAGGAGGAACAGAAGGTGCCTTGCCCAGAAGAGCCACCGGTACACCCACAGAGTTAAAGCACAGCTAACTCTCCTTCATAGTCTATAGTTCTAAACAGATGAAATATTCACAGAGAGGCTAACATGGGATCTTAAATAAAAATTAACAACATTGAAGGGAACCCACTCCATTTAAAAAAATCACCAAATTCAACAGGAGAATTTTCTGTGACTACACCCTACATTTTTTTCTGTACCTATCTTCTGGTTTTATCATTTTCTACAACCTGCCAGTATTACTGACCCCAAACGCGATTGACTGTTCTCTTGAATGCACCTCCTCCTTTATTTTTACTGCATGAGCCCCGTCTTTATCTCTCTCACATCTATTGCTGGTATCTCTAATTTATACCACGTGAATGTTGATATTTACCTACAGCTATATTCAGACCCATGTATAGTTTCACTTAAATCAAACACTGGAAAAGTTGTAACAAAGTTTGGGCAGGAGTTTTAGAACATCTAGACTCAAACTTACTCTTACTTTGGAAGGCAGGAAGACCAGCTAGTTATGTTTTTGTGTTTAATACTAACTTTAGAAGACTATGGTATGTGTTACTATTTAAGCATATTTTCCAAGGGATTTTGAGCATATACTTGTGAAGAATAAATATTCACAGTGACTAATCTTGTTTTAATTAACACCAGAGAAAATAATAGTGGTTGACACAACAGACTATTTTCAGGTTTCTTTTTTTAACTGTGTCAGTTGCCAGTTAGAAGGCTGTGAGAAGAACAGCATACATTCATCATCTGGCACCCCCACCTTCACCTCGAAGAACAAAGAACAAAGAACGAAACTCGCTAGTTATTCAAAGATGACATATGCACAATACTCACATTTTGTAGCCATTAAAGTTTCAAAAGACTGGGCCCACTGTAACACTTCGTCCAAAGTAAGCCTTTGAAAAGAAACAAAAAGCCCTGTTTGGGCTAAATATTCTCAAGGTTTTTGTTGAACTAAATAACATTATATTATCTTGAAAATGACACCAAAATACATTCACATTCCATTCGCGTATGGTTTTGGTTGGAAAGTTATCTTCCTATGATATTTTATATGTCATCTTTCCTATTTAAATTGTTTAAATTATAAAAATTATGAAAATAGTATAGACTTGAAAATATAGTTGAATAACTATTATACAGAACCATAGTCCTATAATCTCCCTATTAACAAATTACCACTATTAGTATTTTGGTGTGGTTTTTAAGTCTTTTTTATGTTTGTATTTGTATATTTGTTATGTTTGTATTTGTGTGTTTTTAATCAAGACGTAATCACACTCTTTGATGTGTGTATGTATACTTTGTGTGTGTATACTCTCACTTAGCAATTTATGTCATCACAATTGTCTTAATCATTTATAGTGTTGTAATTTATAATTACAAATATATAATCATTGATAGTCATATTGCTTATGGTGATGGTGAAATATGCTAGAAGGGGGCATTCCATAGTTCACGTAATTGTTCTCAAACAGCATATTGATTTTCTCTCGTTTTTCACCATTAAAACTCAAATGTAGCCCAGCTGTGTTTAAGGTTTGCCATGGCCACATGGTTAGAGTAATTCAAGGACAATAGCAGAAGTAGAATCAAAGTTGGTTAAAAGAGGCACATTTTTAAGGTTTTTGGTACAAATTGCCAAATTGCTTTTTAAAAGGTTATGTGCTGTTTACTATTGCAACCAGCCAAGTATTTACCTATTTATCTATTAGAATCTTAGAGTTAATCCACAAAACCTATTTGCATGCACTCACATAATATAATTAGTAACCGTAAAGCTAGTATTTTCTCAGTCTCTTATTTTCTAGAATTATTTTTCTATCGGTTTTAATTTTTATCAAGGTGTATTATGTCAAGTTACATTTGACCTAAACAGTATAAATGAAGCCATTTACCATTTAGAAAATAGTTGTGAAAGATTCTGGAATTCTGTTCATTTTGGTGAGCTTCATGAGGTGAACTGGCGAAAGACTGTATTCTCAAATACATATAACTTTATACACCATGAAATACTACGCAGCCATAAAAAGGAACAAGATCATGTCCTTTGCAGGGACATAGCTGGAGCTGGAAGCCTGTACCCTCAAGAAACTAATGCAGAGACAGAAAACCAAATGCTGCCTGATCTCACTTATAAGTGGGAGCTGAATGCTGAGAACATATGGACACACAGGGGAGAACAATACACACTGGAGCCTGTTGTAGGGTGAGGTGTGGGAGGAGGGAGAGCATCAGGAATAATTGATGCTGGCCTATGGCTATCCGGGTGCCTTTATTAGAATTACTTGAAACACCCTTTCTCCTGATACAGGTCCTCCTTTGTGTTCCCTCCATTCTTCTGGGCAGATGGGCAGTGGATACCACGCAGAGATGAAGGCATTTTAAGACACCATGGTGGATGCTGGGCTTAATAACCTAGGTAATGGGATGATCTGTGCAGCAAACCATCATGGCGTGCATTGACCTATGTAGCAAACCTACACATCTGCACATGTACTCCTGAACTTAAAAGTTGGAAAAAAAAAAGAAATAGCCAAAATGTTTATTGCCATTCAATTTATGGTGCATTCTTAATTGTCCTACTTTCAACACTAGATAATTAAAGATGGCTGTAGGTAGAGGCAGGCACTGTCCATTGGCTATACCTGTTATAGTCAGCCTAAAAATGAGTGCTTCAGGAACAGCCATTAGCATTGGCACGCTGCTAACACAGTGAAAGAGGATTAGTTAAAGCGATTAAAAGTATCCTAGAACATGGAAAAATATTGGCAGTCTTTAAAAGGTCAAGTATCTTTTATTTTCCAAAAAGTCAGATGAATCCTGCCAGTTTTGGATGGACTGCTTGTATCACTATGGAGGCTTAGCAGTGTACTGTGTTAAGATTGCTTTCAAAAAACATTTCCATGAAATGATATGTGAGTCATTGTTCTTTTGTTAGAACTTTAGAAAAAGTAACCTAAAGTAACCTTTCAATCTAGTGAAATGGAAAGAGCTAGGCAATGTTTATTTGCATGCCTGTTCGTTCTAATCATTCCTATTATACAGAGAAGAATAAAATCTACAACATGAGTGAAGAGTCATCAATGTGTTGGGTTAGCTTAAAATTAAGTGTCGATAATTGTTCGTAAGAGAATTATTCTGTCTCTAAGACTCATGAGATTTATGGGGAGAGATTATTGGAGTAATTATGGTTGGGAGTAAAGATGGGAAATAGAATTACGTTTTTAACTGAACCCCATTTTTGCTTATAGTTTTTTTCTGAGGATCTCACAAGTTTAGTGCTGGCCTATGGCTATCCAGGTGCCTTTATTAGAATTATTTGAAATGTTTTTTTACCTGATAGAAGTTCTCCTTTGTGTTCCCTCCATTCTTCTGGGCAGATGGGCAGTGGATACCACATAGATATGAAAGCACTTTAAGACACCATGATGTTGCAGAGAAAGGAATGAAGAAGGTTTGGAGGCTCTGAGACTCCCAGGTTCTAATACCAGTGCTGTACTTAGTTGTTCTTGGTCTTACTTAAAATCTCCAAACCCCAATTTTATTGTCTATAAAATGGGGGATAATATAGTCTCTCTCACAGTGTTATCATGAAAATTAAATTAGTTTGTGAATGCCAAGCACCTATTAAATAACTTTTATCTGTTAAATAACTGAATCTGGCAGCTTACCATTAATATGATTTTTGTTTTTTTGGTCTTCCCCGTTTCTCACACTGAGTCTATAAGGCAGATAGAAGAAATGCAAGCTCTGACATCATTAGAAGAAAGAAGAGCTGTCCCTGAATTTGCGGGTTATATCTTTGTCCTTGGATGTACCTGTGTAGTGCAGTAGCCTTCACTGGTCATTTAAAATGCTGAGCTTTGGGTCTTACTATGTCCCCTGCCCACCATGGCAGCGTCCTTCTCCTTCTCCCTGCCACACAGTAGCTTGTAAGCCTTTTTGGACATTTTGGTACTTTAGTTAAAGCATGCCAGGGCTCTGACCATACAGAAAGGTGTGGCCAGAACTGAGGGCTGCACATGGCTTTGGTTAGGCACTCATGGTTAGTCTAACAGGGTTTCTCAACTCTGGGATTCGTTGAGGTGAGCAAGTCCCAAGCAATGGTCTGTTCCTTTTCTCAGGCATTATTCTTTTCACTGTTCCCATCCAAATGGCTGCATTTTGAGTTATGGCAAAGTATGGAGGAAGAGACTTGGTAGTTTAGTAAACATTTGATTCCTCTTTCAGTCTTACCTTCTTTGTCTAGGGATGAAGCTTTCTGGCACTTCGTATGTGGAGGGTTGGAACCAAGAAAATATTTTGGACTGAAGAATCTCATTTTAACACAAACAGTATTCTTTGTTTTTTTAAAAAGAACAGAGACTATTCATAATAGATTCTAAAGCATTTAACCTGCTGGATTCTCAAGTGTAAAACACAAATAATGAAAACAGAATCTTAGCAACACATGACTGCTCTTCTGCTGAAGTGACTCATGTAAATGCAAATTTTACTTTCTGAACGAAATATGTTATAATAGTTTCATAAATATATACCTATTTATCATCTGATAAATATGCTTCACAATCACCATAGAAACTTAAATGCTACTTACTTTGAAGGGGGCCTCTTAGATTCGTCTCTGCGCATCTTACAGAGCCAGCAAATATGCCTGCTCATTTTCCTAAGGAAATATAGTACATATCTGTATAATTTAGTCATTTAAAATAAGTATATGTTAGAGTCAGTTTTTAAGGAATATACAGTATATAAATAATTAAAAAAATAAGGGTGGGTTCTTGAAGCTAATGGAATACAATCAGTGGGAGAGTAGAGAGGAAAATAAAATGAGTCATTTCTCATAAATATTTTGTAAAAATATAGGTGCTTAGATTTGTAAATGACTTTACTTATCTGGCATAGCTATTTATCAAACAATTAGGTTTAAAAGACACCAGTCTTTGAAAAAGATCTTTTCTTTTAGAGGCTGTTAATAATGAATTCACCAACTCCCAAGGCTTTTCTTTTGGGACAATTCTTATTTTTATTTTTTTGAGACAGGGTCTCACACTGTCACCCAGGTTGGAGTGCAGTGGCGTGATCATGGCTCACTGCAGTCTTCACCTCCCTGGTCTTAGGTGATCCTCCCACCTCAGCCTCCTGAGTAGCTGGAACTACAGGCAGGCGCCACCATGTCTAGCTAATTTGTGTGTTTTTTGGTAGAGAAGGGGTTTCACCACATTGCCCAGGTTGGTCTTGAACTCCTGGGCCCAGGCAACCTGCCTACTTCAGCTTCTTGAACTGCTGGGATTACAGGCATGAGCCACTGTGCCCAGCCACAATTCTTATTTTTAGAAAGCTCTCTCAATATATTAAAAAAGAATTAGGCCAGGCGCGGTGGCTCACTCCTGTAATCCCAGCACTTTGGGAGGCCGAGGCGGGTGGATCACGAGGTCAAGAGATCAAGACAATCCTGGTCAACATGGTGAAACCCCGTCTCTACTAAAAATACAAAAAATTAGCTGGGCATGGTGGCGCGTGCCTGTAATCCAGCTACTCAGGAGGCTGAGGCAGGAGAATTGCCTGAACCCAGGAGGCGGAGGTTGTGGTGAGCCGAGATCACGCCATTGCACTCCAGCCTGGGTAATAAGAGCGAAACTCCGTCTCAAAAAAAAAAAAAAAAAAAAAAAAAATTAGCCTCATTATAACTGGACAAGTAAAATAGTGTAAACAGTGAAACAAAAAAGTGCCTTCTGAATGAGTTCTAAGAATGGTGTTGCTTACGTGGTTTTATCTACTCTGAGCTCAGGGACTTTGACTTTAAAATCCAGTTAGAGTTTATTCATCCCAGACACGTTTACATAACAATACATGTTGTAGAAGGTTTTTAACTCAGGACTTCCGGAAAACAACTCACACATTTGTTAAGAGTTATTAAATCCACATTTTAAAGCTGGAAATGGTTTGCACACACATATATAATGAATTATTAAGGATAAAAAATTATTCTTAATAAATAATTAAGGATAATTATTAAGGATATATGAATTTTTATATCAGTCTTTATGGTTCATTCAAAACGTCTGTTGAGTACTTGTTATCTGCCAAGTTCTGGCTGCCTGTGATCAGTATACATCTTGTCTCTCTTCTTCCTGTCTTCACTGACAAGCAATTAAAATACAAGTTGTGAGCTAGGGATAGTGGTTGATGTCTGTAATACCAGCACTTTGGGAGGCGAAGAGGGAGGATTACTTGAGCCCAGGAGTTCTAGAAGAGCCTGGGCAACATGGTGAAATTCTGTCTCAAAAAAATAAAAAACATTAGCTAGTTATGTTGACTGGTGCCTGTAGTCCCAGCTGCTTGTGAGGCTGTGGTGGGAGAATTACTTGAGCCCAGGAGATGGAGGCTATAGGAAGCTGTGATTGTACCACTATGCTGTATTCTGGGCGACAGAGTGCGACCCTGTCTCAAAAACAAAAATCCCCAAAAATGTGATGGGAACTTGGATACAGGAAGTGCAGGGGTCGCGAATACACACAGGAAGAGAACCTAACGAGGCTTGAGGGGTTAGTGAAGGCAGCCCAGTCAAGCAATATCTGAGCTTTACCAGCAGGTTACGCAAGAGTATGCTGAGGGAAGGAGGGGCAATTTAAGAAAACAATCGGGGCAATGAGTCATGTCCCACTGAGGACATGAAAGGAATTTAGGTTGAGCACTGTGGCTCAGGCCTGTAATCCCAACAATTTGCAAGGCTGAGAGGCAGGAGGATCTCTTGAGCCCAGGAGTTTGAGACCAGCCTGGGCAGCATAGAGAGACCCTGTCTCTACAAAACAAACAAACACACAAAAAAATTAGCTGGGCATGGTGGTGTGTACTTGTAGTCCCAGCTACTCAGGAGGCTGAGGTGGGAGGATCACTTGAGCTCGGGGTTGAGGCTGCAGTGTGCCGTAATCATACCATTGCACTCCAGCCTGGGTGACAGAGCTGTCTCAAAAAAAGGAAAAAGGAATTATATTGCCCTGAATTTACAGTGTGGCAGACAGAATGAGAGACAGAGCTGAGAGGCTTAGAGAGTTATGATTGAACCAGTAACCACGTTTTAAAATGATAATTGCAGCAAGAAAGTGGTGGGAGAACTTGTAATGCTAGGCAGAGGCTGAGCATGTTAAGCCATCCAGGCCATGGATTTCACAGTAAGGAGCTGGGAAATCATTGCAGGATTTAAAACTCAGAATAGACATTATAAGATTGAAAGGGGTTTGTGAGTAGAATGAATTGCTTTGTGGCAAGAGTGGCACCAGGGAGACCAGTTGGGGGTGACTGCAGGAGTTCAGGTGAGGAACGGCTAGGAAGATGGCAGTGGAGATGAAGGGAAGGAGAGACGTTTTAGACATTTTGGAGGAGGAACTATTAGAATTTGTTGACCCATTGGATATGGAAGGTGAGACAGAAAGAGAAGAAATTGAGGTGAGAGATTTGGCTTCAAGATTAAGGTGGGCTATTTTCATAAAACTCATAAGAGGAGCCAAAAAAAAGGTGAACTATGAAAAGCAGACAGCCCAATATGAGTTCATGAACACAAACATTTAAGAGAAAGACTGTGAAAAAGAAGTTTGTGTCAGAATAACACAGTATCACTGAAACCAAGAAATGAGTTTATTGAAAAGGAAAGAGTGGCCAGTTGAGTGTTAAAAGCTGGGAAGAGCTTAACAGAGCAAAGGATCAAAAAAAGTCACACTTGTTCACAGGATGATTGTTAATGACCTTGCTGAGAGTGGTTTCAGTAGAGCAGGGAGGACAGAAAGAAGAAGAAAGAAAACAAGAGAAAATGAAGCCCAGGACAAATGAAGGCTGTAATTTTTCAGTTTGCCCGCCCTCCCTCTCCCCCTTCCTCCATGCTTTCTTCTTCTACTTCCTCCCTCGCTTTCCCCTTCTCTCTCTCTCTGTCTTTCTCTCTCTCTCTCTCTCTCTCGCCTCCCTCCCTCCGCCACTTCCTCCCTCCTCCTCCCTCCCTTCTTCCTCCCTCTTCCCTCCCTCCCTCCCTCCCTCTGTCCCTCCCTCCCTCCCTTCCTTCCTTCCTTCCTTCTTTGCTTTTCTTCCTTTCTCTCTCTTTCTTTCTTAAAAGATGTTGATAGATACAATAATGATAGAGAGGCAAGACTCTTGTCATTGGATCATTCTGGCCTGCATATGTCTCTAGGAGGCACTGTTACAATAGTCGTTAAAATGTGAGTGACATACTCTAAAGTTGGCAAAAGGTAACCATAGACAGAGGTTGAAAACACAAAGAAGGAGAATCAATAGAATTTCAGGTTCCTGAAGAAGAAGGAGGAGCTACAATTCAGAATGTGGGAGTTGAGACACTGGAGAAGTGGAAATATAGGAAATAGTTACTATTTCCTTGTAACTAGTGAAAGTATAGGTGTAGATTCAAGTTCATTTGCAGGTTTGGAGATAATAGCATATGGGAAATGTAGTCTGATGGACTTCATTTTCTATGTGGGTCTCTACTATAATTGAGGAGGACCAAGACACAAGAAAGTTATGTGTATCTATAGGAAGGAACAAAATGGAAGGGGAATAGGTGAATTCATATCAGGACTCTTCCAATTGCAAATATAGATTAACATTACCTAGGCAAAAGGGAGAGTTTATTAAAGGGATATATTTGTGTGTGTAGCTAGGTTCTAGATGATCTTACATATGAGACTAAAGATGTTAGATTATTTTGTTAGTAGAAGTAATCCACTGAGGTCTTTAAATAGCAGAGTGATGAAAATAAAAACCTTTTTCTAGAAAGATAACTCTGCCTGAAAATGATTAACACTGAAATGTTACATTGACTGGCTGTCAATAGCTAGTCCAATGTGTAATTGGACCTTGAACTACATTTGTTCAAATTTCAAGCTACATTAGTTCAAGTTTCAAGATTCCTCATCTCTGTGATCACCCATATAATCTGGTTACACAATGGCTTGCAGCTTATCTTCTAAGTAAAAGGATGGGAAAAATGTACTTCCTTCATATGTCTTCTCTGTAAGTATAATTAGTCACCCCTGTCTTCTGCTGACACTTGACCTCTTCCTTACCCTCTATTTCTAACAATAGCTTTTGTCTCCTACTGCCTTCTCACTTGATCTATTGGAGCTATGTGTACACATTTTCAGACCTTGTTTGTGTGGTGATTCCTGTAACTCAAATGTATGTCTATTAATAGGTCATCATACTTTCGTTTATAAATTTAATGAAATTGGCAAAAGCAGAATGGTCTTCGTATGCAGCACTCGCTAAGGTCAGAAGTACAGTGAAGGTAAAGTAGTTTCTGGATGATGCACTAGAGCTTAGGGGGTTCCCACAGCTCCTGTGAGTTGACAGAGTATATTCAAATCATTCTGGAGTTTGAAGCCAGACAGACATGTGCTTGAGGCCAGGCTCTTATTAGCTGTGTGACCTCGGGCATATTAATTAAACCTCAGATTCTCATTTTGGAGGAGGAACTCATTTCCTTTTCCTTTTCTCTAAAATAGAACTGTAAAGATTAGAAAAATTGCATGTATGCAAAAATTTTCTGTTTCTTTCTATTTGATTTTCCTTCAGCTGCTGGCGTAATGTCACGCAGGAAATAGTTCCTGAGTTCTTTTGTATGTACCAGGAGATACATATTCTGTTAGACTGCATTTTTTCCTCTTTTTAAATTTCATCTCAGATCTCGCAAGTTTTCCCCATTAACTTTATTCGTTTTTCAACATGTCAACATATAATCTGCAAATCCTCCTCCTCTGAATTTTTGTTGTTCCCATGTTTCTATATTTCTGTTGTTCACACATTATTTCAGTGGCTGAGTCCCAGCTTTAGAATTAGTTGGATCAACAACAGTGATTCACAGACATCTGGGTGTGTGAATGTATCACACTGATGGGTTGGGGCTGCCAGAGAGCCCAGGGATGCTTGGGTGTTACAGAAGAAAGGGACCAGAGGACAGCCCAGCCACAGCTTCCCTTTAAATCTAGCCACTTAGGTTGTTCTTTCTATGGAGATGCCTGGTCCAAAAGGAGAGAGATGGCTGAGATCCACCCAGACTCCCCTTGCCAAGTGTGGAGCCAAGTGGGGCTTCCTCCATGTGGTGAAAAGGCTACTTTTTAATAATTCCGGTCAAGACTCTGTGTAGACTGATAGCAGCCCTGTGCTCAGCTACATGACTGATTCAGTGGGAGTTCCTTGGTTAAAGCCACTTATTAGGTGACATTGAAAAAGAAGTAATACATATATAATGTTATTTATGTTTCTGACTTATCTACTGCTACTAGACTATAAGTTCCCTAAATTGAATATGATTTGATAATTACATATAAGCAGTTATTTATATGTTGGTTAGCATTCTAAGTCAAACATTTGCAAATTTAGTAAATTCTAAGTCAAACATTTGCAAATTTAGTAAATTATGGAATACAAATAGATATGTCATAAAAGCATCAATGATTAAATTGCAAAAAATATTTAGTGACAGAATTGGGCACGAGATGTGTCATGCATAGAACAAATAGATCTTAAGAAGTTCTCTGCTGTTCCTGTCCTTTAGGAAATGGGACTGGAGACTGGACACTGTCCCAGTGACTGCAATTCTGCTCCAGTGCCCAGAGCCTGGTGCCTTCCCACCTGTATTCTAAGATTTCTAGGACTGAAAGTCCATCCACATGTCTGTGTTTCTTTCTGTTGATTACACTGGATTCACAAACAGCATGTACCAGGACTTTGTGGAATATCACAGAACCCCCCACCCAGCATCCTTACAATGCTCTCCACATTGAAACTAAGAGACAAATTCACAAATATTTAACCCAGCTTCAGGTAAGGAAGGTCAGATTGACCGCCTGAGTTTATTATCTCTTCCAACCAAAACACTAATAATATTAGAGTAAAGGAACATGCAAGACTTAAACATGAAGGAAAAAGGAGATTAAACAAGGAGAAAAAAAAAGACAAAATATTCCAAAGATGAAAGGCAGAGGCTCAGAAGTAGAAATTAAAATTCTCATACCTCTAAAATGAGAAGAGAAAAGGCAGCCTTGGAATATCATCTGACAAAATTAGAAAATATAATCCACAGTTTGAGGACAAGTAATTTGCAAAATAACCAGTGGTTTAAAAAGAAGTATCTGTAATCCTGCATTCAACAGTATTTATCATTAAATAATACATCTCAATTGACAGTTTAATAGCACCAGTATAGAGTGGCAGAATGACATCCTTACACATTTACAATTGAGAACTTCTAAAGAAATATTTTTGTAGTTTCATAAAGGGTACATTCTAATTTTTTTTTTTTTTTTTACAAAAGTAATGTTCTTTAGGATAAGATTTCATTAAAACATCCTATCAATAAATTTATTTTGTTTATTAGTTAAATCCAACCAAGGGCATCTTTAGTTATACCCTTCAAAATAGTCAACACTGATAAAAATTAATGACTGGATGCAGTGGCTCACACCTGTAATCCCAGCACTTTGGGAGGCTGAGGTGGTGGATCGTGAGGTCAGGAGTTCGAGAGCACCCTGACCAACATGGTGAAACCCCGTCTCTACTAAAAATACAAAAATTAGCTGGGCATGGTGGTGCCTGCCTGTAATCCCAGCTACTCAGGAGGCTGAGGCAGGAGAGTAGCTTGAACCCGGGAGGTGGCTGTTGCGATGTCAAGATGGAGCCATTGCACTCCAGCTTGGGCGACAGAGTGAGACTCCATCTCAACAAAAAAAATTAAAAAAAAATTCAAATATTTTATAGAACTATAAATCTGCTTTGGAAAAAAGAGTATTCCCAGTGAAAGAGTGATCTAAATTGGCATGACACAGAACTGATTTAAATTGTGGTTAAACTTACCAAGCTTCAAAGAAACAGTGATACTTTTTTTCTCATGTTGGTGGTATAATATGTGGAAACATTCCATTGACCTAAAAATAAAATAATAACCAAATCAAACAAAAACAAAAAGATTATTGTGCGCTTCCTGGAGAATGCATATTTTCCAAGGATATCTATAAATACTCTTAAGTTTTAAGTAAATAATTTTTCCATCTCATAAATTCTGGATTATGGTTATTCCCATTTTTTATTAACTCTTTATCTAAAACTGTGTTAATTTCATGGATTATTATAAAAATTTCTATACTATTTTAATTTGTATTTTTCCATTGCTTTTTCTTTAAATAATCTATATTTATCTTAACATTGTGTATTAATTTGCTTATCTTTTTTATATTTCAATACTCTCTTGGTAAAACATTAGTTTTACAATCTAAGCATAGAGTGTTTAGAGCAAGTTTATGTCTCCATAATGATTTTGCCTCTACTGTTTTCTCCTGATCATTGTTTAAAAGAAATACATTTCATTGATAGAATTTAATACTCAGAGTGATTATAAATGCATTGGTAATGGATTGAGTTGTATTAGCAGTATGCCAGAAATAGATTTGTTTCTTCCATTATTTAAATGAAATCTTAGTGTTATAAAAATAAATTTTCTTAGAGCAATTCTGTTTACATATATCTGCATTAAAATGTTTCTTTATGATATAGCATGTTATATAATATTTAGTAAAATTTGGAGCGATTTACATTTTAGCAATATTTTTTTTACCACAGCACACAAATTTCTTATCCTTTAAAAAAATGCAAGAAATTTGTATATACTCTTGCTTAAGCGTAACATTAAAGAATTCTATAAAATAAAGATTAACAATATTTCAGATAAACCTTATAATCAAACCTGGGTTCAGTACAACTAATAAAGTAATGGAACTAAAAATTTGGTAATGCATGATTTTTAAAAAAATTCAGAAATGTCTGACTTTATAATATGTTTTAATGTAAACATATAAAATGGAAAACATTTAAAATGAACACATACACAAAAACCATATAAAATAAAATAATATACTTAAAAACTGTAGTATTTCCTCTGTTGCCCAATTTAGAAGATTCATTTATATAGTGACTGTAAGTTTTGTTTGAACTATAGAACGCCAGGCAAAAGAATATGTGTGTTAGTTTGTTTTCTTCTTAGAAAAACCACTCCCAGCAGTCCTACTGTGGAAATCAGCATCCATTTACCAGCTAGTCATTTCTATCAAACCAATAGTCTTATATTTATCTACTATTTTATAGAATCTGATACTTACAAATATAGCTTGTCGAACAGTCCACCATGCTAAATTTTATCTCCTCTTTGTTATAATTCATTTGAAATCAGGTTCTGAAATTTTATGAGACACCCAGCATTTTATTTTTCCCAGCATTGAAGGATTTTGCTGTCTCTATAATTACCTTCGATGGCACTCTGGCCTCAGTATGAATGTCCTGTTTTTACACACACATATCTATGCAAAGAGAGGTTTTGTTGAATATGGAAAGTAGTGCTGTAGGACTCCAGTGCATTACTGATAAAGAGGTTTTATCTGACATTATCAGAACATCTGAAGTGATCAGATGATTGGAACAGCAGCTCCATTCCATCTCAAAATAATAATCAAACTTTTTTTCCAAAATAATTTTTCTAGTTTTAGAAAATGTATAAAGTAAAATTCCCTTTTAAAAAAGAGAACTGAGAACAAGCACATAGGACATCACTGCAAGCACATGTTATCAAATAGTTGAGAACTATTAAAATCAATCTGTAATAGTCAGATGACTAAGGACTTTTAACAATTGAAGGACCTAAAAAGGTTTCTTTTCTAGTTATGCCTCTCTGGTTCCTTCATCTGGTCCTCTACACCAGTTCTGGACTCCACTGTTCTAGACTTTGGTAATATGCCTTCAAAATCTGAATTGAACACAGTGCTTGAGATGAAGTCTGATGAATACAGAATATGGTAAGATTATGAATGTCCTTGCCGGGGTCTGCTCCAATTCTGCGTGTGTGTGTGGGGGCGGGGCAGGGAACAGAGCAGTGGGAGTTGAGAAATGCTGGAATAAAACAGCAGTAAAGAAGATCAAAATGTGGTTGATGGAGTGTTTCTTAAAATATTTAGGAGCCCAATGAGACAGAAGATTAACCTTACTTTTCTTTAATAGTTTTGAGATTCAAACTCAAGGAAATTGAATTCATCAAATCTAATGGAAAAGTTTGGGACTAGAAAAGGAAAGCAAATTGTGGAAAGTCAGAAACTGTATAGATGTGGCAATGATGTAGGAAGTAAAGGGCAGGTTTGCCCTAGTTGGGGAGGATCTGGGTTGTTTGTGGATAGCACTCATTTTCACTGGTTGGTAGTTGTGCAGTTTCCTCCCCACCTCGGGACATTTGGGATGCTGGATCTCTTCAGGAAATCTTCAGTGTCGTATTCAAGGCTTTCCCTCACCCCAAATTATTCCTTTTCGGGGATTCAGGAATGTTTGCTCTTTCTTATGGTTGGGATGCAAGGAGCTGGAAGGAAGATTTTGGAAGTAACACCCTGTGTGGGTGTCAGTTTCAAAGCTTGCTTAATGGAGTCAGACATGAGACTCTCCCTACAGGGTAAAACTTAAGTGTTGGCAGGGACTGAGAAACAAAGAAATCATAGAGTGAAGAGTAACAGCATGAGTAGGTGGAAATTCCTGGAGGAATTCAAGAGAAAGCTATCGATATTTGTGACAGTTTTCTAAACATTTTTTTGTTTCTCTGAAAAACAGTAGTTCAAGTTCAGTTTATGGAATCAGAGCAATATAATGCTTTGTACGGCACCTAGCTGGATCTGACTAGTTCAGAGCTGTTAGGCTAGGGAAGGTAACAGGATTATGCTTTCGTCAGTGCAGCTTGGGAATGCCCTTTCCATTGGAAGGCTGTCCCTCTGATTAACTGATCTGCTTACTCTAGAGCACTTTCACTGTATTTCAATTTCAGCCAACGTAAGTTCAAATTAACACATGTTTGAATGTGTGCAATTAAAAAATATTTAATATTTTTATGTTGTAAGTTCCAAATGAACTTTGCAAGAACAGAATAATGAAGTATTAGAAATTATAAATTCAGAATTTACCATTTATATCTTCTACAAAGAGGGGAGATATATAATTACTGGTTAATGTTGGTGATGGCAGCTTAAGAAATAAACCTACTATTTTCAGTGCATCCTATTTGTACTATATAGTTGTTGCCATTTGTTCAGAGGGTGGCACTTTCCAATATATTCTGGAAGCATGATAAACTCTAGGACACTGGGGTGAATTCTCTGGTGAAATGTATCCAGTAGGCAACGGTTTGTGCCAATGTTTGGAAGAAGACTGGTATCTGCTCCTGCTTTCCGTCGACTCTGATCTGTCCCTCTTAGCTTTTCAGCTCTGTCCTCTCAGCCTTCATTATCTTCCATGCTTCTTCGCAGAGCATCCTCTGTCTTCATAGATTTAGTGTCCACATCTTGGAGTGGACGACTCAGAGACTTGGCCTGTGTCCTGTCCTCTCTGGCTTGTTGCCAATCAGAAACAATCTAACTTTAGCTTTTGATTTGTGTGAACACAAAATATACTGACAACAAAAATTAGAAACAGGTTACTGAACACTCAATATTACGGTTAGCACAAAATAAACCTCAGTAGCAAATAAAGTTAGTTAACTGATTCTGTCTGCATTTATTCAGATGAGTTGCTTTAAAGATGCCTTTAATTATAATCATTGTCCTGTCAGGCTATAAAGTTTAGTCACTAACTCCCAATCACTCTGAGTTTCCTCTTGGTAGCTGCTGTAAATCATTCTCTTGGCCCTCCCAGGAAGTCAGCAATGCTCTCAGGTTTCGGATCTCCAGTGTGTAATTGAAAACAGTGGTCCTACTTGGTTTCTATTTTCCCCTGAGCGCTTGGTGGATTATCCTGTCCTTCCTGACTGAATTCTGGGGAATCCTTTCAAATCATATTGTTTCCTCTAGTGTATATAGGGTAACATTACATAGATAGGAAAGTGTTCTTTTTCCTGGAATAAATGAAGGAGACAGTCGGCAGCTGTTTAATTTGTACTGAAACGAGTCTATTAGCAGTGTTGTACTTTCATGTTGTTTGATCTGAAAAAATTCTCTAAGGATGGGGTTAAGGGCATGTCCCTTTGAAGAAGATTTGCTTTGGCTCTGTCAGACAGTCCAGACACTTCCCCAAACCCAAGGCTGCTTTGTTATTTTCTTAGCTTGGGTCTCCTGGACCACACAGGTAGGGTAAACTTAAATTATAGACCTGGTATTATGCTGAAATAGACATGTTTCCCTGTCATCAGTTTTTGTAGGTGACTTGTTTTTTTCTGTCTGCTCTTTCATAGCAGTTCAAGAGCTCCTGCCTCAAGTGAAGACAGCCTTTGATTTTGTTTTCTGGCTTGCAACAACTCTTAAAAGCCGGATCTCTAGGTTACTGAGATTAGCAAATGCTGAACTCAGCTAAACTTTAAATACTAGTTTATCACGCTGATTTAGGATTCCCTGTTTTTTCTTAGTTTTGCAAGCTTGCCTATGCATTTAAATGGGGTTATTTGTTATATATTTTTCTAGTATTTACGGATGTCTGATAGAGAGATTTTTCAGGACATGTCTTGTCTGCCATGCTTTAGGTATCCTTTTATATGAGATAATGTTATATACTCATTTTTAGATAAAAGTAAATGCAATAAAATATCAAGGAAATTGGGACTTTAGTACTTCCTTGTTATCACAGATGGAAAGCATCATTACTTGCTTCTGTAGATGAGGAATGCTTTTAACATATAAGACCCACTGATGGGCAGTTGCCAAGCCAAGGCCTATTTCCAATCTCCTAATCAACTCACTATCCTTTATTCTTTAGGTAAGCCTGTCCTGTTCTGCCATGTGCAAGGTATATAAATTTTCTACTACAGAAGGGCAGAACAGGCATACTTGTGCCACATTTCCTGTTTTTTTTTTCCTATCACAGAAATTAAAACGGTTTTTCTATAGATCACTATTTAAATACTTTTTGTCTTAATCTTGAAACAGATCTATCCCCAGGACAATAGTGAATGGCGATGATTGGCCCCATCCCACCCATTCATGGAAACTTATGTGGTGTTTAGTGACTCGGGGAAGAAGATGGCTAGGTAGTGAATCAGAGGCAAGGACCATTTGAAAAGAAACAGGTACTTCAGTCAGCTGTTAGGAGAGACCTAAAACAACACAGAGCTCAGAATTAGCCTCCTCCCTTCTTGGACAAAGGAATCTCCGCTTTTCTCAGTCACGCTTCAAATGCATATGTGGACATAGCATTTAGACTGGTGTTGTACATGCTCAATAAATATTTGAAGAATGGATGGATATAGCTTTTTCCCCAGCAAGATTATCCAAACTAAAAATGACCCTTAATATTCATTTTAACCAGTTTTTACTTAGATAAAAATTATGGGGTGAAGTTTGGGAAGGATTATATTATATAGGTTTCCCATATCTCATACTTTCCTAAGAAGTAGTTCTGCCTTTTCATCACCTATGATTTGTGTATGATTAATAAGATATATCTGGAAATACTTTGTAAGTATAATTTACACAAACATATATCTTTATGAGGCATGCAAATTTAAACAATGATGTCCTTGTGACTCAGTTAAATAAGGAACTAGAATAAAATACAAGACAAATGTTTGCCTTTAGGATTATGACACTATATCATAAAACCTCTGAAGGACATGATAATGCAAATAAGATTAGATAAAACAAGTTCAGTTTTGTAGAAAAGGCAAAGAATTAAAAAATTGCAATCTCAGAAGCTTCAGAAACCTACTTTTATATGCTTTCCACCATAAAAAAGGTGTTTTTTCATTCCCCCTCAAGTTTGAATATTTGAAGAGTTGCTTTAAGAACTTTAAAACTAGTGCATCAAATACATGCTTTTTGCAGATATGGAAAATACTTCCTTAAACATTTTTACATAAAGAAAAGTAATTTTGCCCAAAGAAAATAACATCCAAAGGAAAATGAAGAATGATTGGTGTTATAGGAAACATAATCCTAGAGGCCTGGCACTGCGTAACGCCTTCTGAATGTACAGCATGTGGTCAATAGAGATTATGCAAGTGTTTTTTATAGATGAAGCTGAGCAAAGGAGCAGAATGGGAAGAACAAGGGGGACTGAGGCACAAGAAGAATGACTTTTCTTTGAAAGATAAAATGTTCAGGGCATTAAAAACAAATACCAATTTTCCCCCAAAACATTTTCAGACACTACAGAAAATAATATGTAGCAAACCATAAAACTTATTTTAACTGTTTAAAAAACTTCCAAACAAAGGAATTTAGGAAAAATGGCATTCTAGTTATATTTTCCCCAGGATCAGTCAGAATTTATTCCATCTTATTGCTTTTCCAAGTGAGTAGGCAGAAAGTAAACAGAAATGTGAAATTTGTATCGATTG